GCAGGAATTGCTATTTAAGTTGTTACTCTGCATAAAGTTGCCTTGTTTGTTTAGTGATCCACCTTGTGCTGAGGGCATAAGGCTTAATAACTATGCCAATACTCTTCTAATGCTCAACTCTCTGCTTTGCGCAACAATTAACATTTTTAAATGAACTGACAGCAGACATTTTTGTTGCAGGGGAGTTGAAAGTGAGCAGGTATCCTATACTGCCTTGGCTCACTGATACATCATTGTGGACCAGAAAATTGAACCCAGTCCAGCTTGGGATTATTTTGGTATGTAAGCGTACAAGGATCTGACCAGACCTTTTCCTTTCTCTTCATGCATTGAAGCTGTGGTATTCTCTTCTTGCATCTTGTAGGCAGCAGGTCTGGTCTTTTGTCCCAGTATTTTAGTCTGGCAAAGGCCCTTCTGTGATAATGTTCTCTGCTTTGCAGCATTGACTTGCAGCTTTTTGGGGGCTATTCACCTTTGAAGAGAGGCTTACCAGGAGTTCCACTTATGTGATACAGTGTTTCTTTGCTGCTCATTTGCAGTGTTTCTTTGCTGCTCAAGTCTGTTGTTACCATCCCAAGCTAGAGTAGTGTGTAAATGATAATGTGTATGTGTTGACATCAAAGACCATTTTGTTCTGAACTTGATCCTAGCTTCTGAAACTAATGGGCTTTGTCATTCTCTTTGGATGTTCACTAAAACATACAAGTCCTGATCTATAATTCAAGTAAGTTGCATTTTTTGTCTGCCAATGACTTTACAGTGTATAGTGGCAAAATATACTTTGAATGACTTCTGTCGCATGTAACTGCATAAACTGAATCTTGGCCAAAGGATTTTATTAGCTGCTTTGCTCTGGTAGCTAAGCTTCTTTTTGCTCCTAAATACTGTAGGAGGAAAGCATGTTATGGAGGCAGATACATCTATTGAGCCTTGATTCTGAGGGTGGAGCAGCTAAAGTTCATTCACACCTCGTTCTTTTGGTATCATCTCTCATCCTCAAGGATACTCAAGCTGCTGAGACATCTGCTGCTTTTGATTTCACTGCTTCTGACTTCATCTTTAGTTCTAGATTATCTATGGCAAGTTTATCCATCAACAGGTTGTCTGGATATATGATGAGCTTTCCTTTTGTCATGATGAACATCTAGTGTTCCTCCAAACTCAACCTCCTGATTACAGTGAATATGTGTCTTGGTTGAATCTCTCATTTACTAGCTTCCAAGCAACCTAATAGGTAGAGCTAATCTTAGTCTGAGATCAGTCACTGTTATAACCTCCTAGTTATAAGAGATTATTTTTGATGAATGCAATCTGTTCTTGATTTGCAGCACTTTCTTTTTCTGCATAATCAGATTCTCTGAGATTAATCAATTTTTACCAGTATTTTTGTCCTCTTCGCTTCTAGTATTCAAACAGTAACAGTTTTGGTTACAGTGAGCTTCTGCAATCACTGTGGAATTGCTAATAATGGCAAGGATCCTGTCATCCATTGTCTTATGCATATTTTGTGATTGAGCATCTGCACGCTTACTCGGTACTCTAAATTCTCGTTCTTTTTGCTACTTTTTTTTCCTTCTGGCAGAAGCTATGTTCCATCTTGAATGCTGCTGTTCAATCATCGCTTACCTACTACAGGTTTTTCTTGCAGGACTTATTTCTGTTTTGACACAGCAGCATTCAAAAAAAGCATAGTGGGTTTGTGTTTTCATTGTGAACATGCTGTTGCATTTCAGAGGAAGTGGGATCTGTGACATTTCACTTACATTCAGGTTTCTGGCAACGACAAAACTGGAATATGATTGCAGATTTTTGTGGCTTTCAGAAACTTTCAGAAACCTTCTCTAAGAATTTCCCAGAAACTACATTGGATTGACACTTTGATTGGAAGTTATGTGAATTATACTTCTTTTGAATGCTCATTTTGGATATTATCAATTGGTTCTTTTACAGCTTTGCTACAGATTATTTATCTTTTTTTTCAGTTTCATACTTGCAGTTAAAACATTTGCAAGCTATGTACAGATTTGTCAGCTTTGTGTAAATAGTTCGTGTGGGAACAATTGGCATCATGGTGTCCCGTTTTCACTGTGTGAGGATCTCGGAAGTGTTACTCATGTGGAAAACACGTAACATAAAACCTGTGCTAAACCATGCAAGTAAACATGCATGTCTTGACGATAAGTATCCCTGATGGTCCCAAGAACTACGAAATTGCATGAATAATGAAACGTATGGGATTGTATCTGCAAGGACAGAGCATGAATATGCACATTATAACCAGTTTAGCTTATGCTCAAAGAATTAAGATTTCATTTATATGTACCTTAACCTGTCTCCTCTTTGTTATTTTTAGGATGTCAAGCATCACTGCATTATTATGGGTTCTTAAAAGACATGTAGTTGCAGGGCAACCTTACTTGATTAGCAAATTATTTATTACCTTTGTTTGGAAAGTCTTTTGTCTTCTCAATTGACCTGACAAGAAAGGAAATGTTTGTTTCTGTTGTTCTGTTAAATGTTTGTAACTGTGCAGCTTTTGCATAATAACACTTCACTACTCGTGATATAACAACAGGTAGTTGTTACC